TGGATCAGAAATGAGTACACACATGAAGTTAAGGGGTTTTGCAGCAAGCATAGATTCGGTATTTTTACAATTGAAAAGCTGAAAAACATGGTAACCTTGGTAAAAAAAGTATATTTTTGCGGTTGGTTGGAGAATATTTTGACAGGCTTCTGCAAAAGAGTAGAGAAAGACACGAGAGGACAAAAGTGATGCTAAAGTAGTCAGAAGAGAAGCAGTCATTGGGAAGAACAGCATCTTCCCAGGTTTTATAGATGCTTCTTATATGTCAAAGATGGACACCATTTGTCATTCTCATTTATTCTGGGACTGACATAGCAAATGTTTGAAGGATGTAAAGAAGAGCAGAAGGTGGTTTAAGGTGACACATATAGTAAACATAGGCTTAGTGGGAACAAAACAGGAAAAGAAATTTCAAACTGAACACCAGGAGACTACTCAAGTCTTGAATGTTACTGGATAGCTAAGTATTCTATAAGAGAGAAAGTGGAAACTCAATTTGCTGGGCTATTTAAAAGTACAGACATAAATTTATCAGAGAGAATACCCTGTACTTCTAGAGTTGGAAGACACACCATAATTTAATAGCTCTCTTTTAACTCTAACTGAAGAACTGTCTATTACAACTAACAAGAACATCAACAATTGCTAGAGCTAACATAAGTTTAGACAGAAATCCTTGAACCACTTTGTCTCTTATTCACATCTAAATTTCTGTCTCTCTCTAAGCATTATTGCCAAAAAATTAAAGCAGTCATGAAGTATAGGTTTAACATCAATTAAAAAAAAAGCCAAACCCTGATCATTTACCATTCCTCAAAAAAAAGGGTTATGACAACCATTTATAAAAAGAGCAGTTTTGCTTATTGAACAAACCTATTACAGGAATGGATAGGCACATTTTCATGTGCAATCCCCATCCCACGTTACACCTGCATCCCATATGAAGTTCTGAAAGAGAACTACAACAATTCTGGCCTCCCCAGAAGGCTGTGCCTCATGGCTATTCCCACTAACACCAAAAGCACCCTTGGCTGAAGGGGCTAAGGCTTGCCCACCCCATTCTGCCAACCAGCCCAGGAGGAACCCGAAGCAGGACCTTGGGCACCAAGCCCTGCCTGACAAACCCCTGCCCAGTGCCATCACATGGCACCACCAGCCATGGGACTTGCCAGCCCCTGCCAGGACTCCCTCTTTCCCCTGCTCTCCAAATCTCCTCTGCATGCCTTTGTGTGCCCCTGACTGTACCCATGTGTCCATCTGCCTTGGCAACAAAGATTTTAGTGCCCAACAGGAAGGGAAGGAACCTCAGCTAATACTGACATATGGGAATGTGTTAATGGTCAAGGCAAAAACCAATGTTTTCTCAATAATTCCACTCATGACAATAACTTATTGGCTTCCATTTGACATCCCAACCATTTTCTGCACAAAAATGCTTTTGAAATTAAGTTGAAAATGGACCTTATCTTCTATCTCCTCCCTTTTCCTCTACCACATTTCTAAAGGCTATAACATACTTGTCAAACTGGTGAGCCTCTCCTACTTGGCAGAATCAGATTATCAGGTCTTTTAATCAGAAAAGAAACACATAATTAGTTTAGTACTAAGTGCTAAAAAGTATTGCCATATCCTTAAGAGGACAAGCTCTCTACTGCAGACACTAAGTACTCGGGCTATTAAGAATATTAATATTTTGCAGACCTGTGGAACTCTAAAGTCTCTGACTCATTGTGCTTGGACACCTCACAGCAAAAACCTTTTCTCCTGTGGAAGGCTCCTAAGGATTAATTTAAGCCCATTCTTGAAAGCCGAGTGCATCACAGCAGTTGTTGCTTCTCTCCCTCTTTCTCTGTAAAATCACCCTGATACAGCATCAAAAACAACTGTCATTCCAGAGCTCAAGGACTATCAATTCAGCAGGCAGCAGGACAAGCATGAGCAGGCTGTACACAAGTCATTTTATCTGTTTAACTACTCAGATATTTATTTTGATGTTTGGACAGAAACCTTTCTCATTTTTCAAAATTCTCAGTGCAGGTAGGTTTTCCTTTTTAAAATCAAGTGAGTGTTAGAATTGTGATCAACTGGTCATATTAACCCTCATTTTCCCCTTGTGTTCAGCTTAAACTGATACCTTCATCAGACATGTAGGTTTACATGCTTATATAGGGTATATATTTTCTAGGGGTTTTTTTTTTCTGAAATCTTGAAGATCCTAAGTATAATTTCCTTTCCTGGGCCCTGGGCTTTTTTTTGGAGTCAAGAATAAATTCCTCTTTATTGCTCAGTAGTCATCACGAGTGACTTTTCCTTCATCTACAGCCTCTAGAATAAAGACAATGATAAGAAGTCCTGGTGCAGTCAACTCTGCTCTTTTTGTAGGCCTAAAATCTTCTCTCTCTCCTTGACATTAACAGTGGCTTTTCAAAACCGCATGTTCTGCACTGGAGGACAAATGAAGTACATCACCTCCTCCACATTCCTGCTCTCAAACTAAATATTTGTCACATCTCAGGCTTTGGGATAAAAGCACAAAATTTTAAAAGTCATCTCATCTCACCTTGAAGTCCCTTCCCAAACATAATTATAAATTTCTAAGCCAAACACAAGGGAGACTTTTTTTCTTACTTTAATTCACTATGGGTCCATCAACCTGGACCACGTTTGAAGGTACATTTTCTCCCCATTAGTTCTGTCTAGTCAAACAAGCTCACGTAGCGATGACGCATCTCTTGCAGATAAGGGTATCCGCTGATTTGATTTACTAAGGAGGCTAAATTTATTATGCAACATTTTACAAGTATAATTCTGCTTTCTCTTGATGGTAATAAATTCGATATCAACTCCCCTGAGACAAGAGAACCAGTCCTTTTATTATCCAGACATGACCCCCAGAGCCAGATTCCATTTTAGAGACGGGAAATGACCATATCTCTGATTAAAAGGGAAACTTTAATCAAATAAAGTGCCTCATCAAGCGAGAGCCAAGATTCCAATACTCCTGACTGCAGCACAGCAATGATCCAAAGTCATATCTGCCCCCAACCCATTACCGCTTACTGCAAACGTGATATCCATCCCAAACAGGAGATGCATCCTTCAGCAGTTCCATTATCATCTGGGTAGCTGCTCCTACTGTGCTCACAGTCCCACACAGAAACACGGTCTCAGACAGACCCCAGGGTTTGCTTAAAGAATCAGATAAGAATGACCTTTGTGGTGTTCGGTTTGGGGTTTTTTCCCAACGAAATCAACCTCACAGGTGACAAATATCTTGAACCATGCAGCCAAGTGCAGCAACCATGGCTTTCAGCTCGGGACCCTTCCAGTAAGACTCTTCTATTCTTTCACTTACCTTTCTTCTAAACCTTGAATTTAGCTTTTGAAGCATTTAGGATAATAGCTTATTTGAGTCCCAGGTAAAGAGCTTTATCCCGATTTTCAGTGGTGTATTTCTGTAGTTTTACAGTAGAGTAATAAAGGAATTACAAATAATGATAACTATGACAGTATGGATGTCTAGGGGTATTTTTATTTTAACTGTGCTTTAAGGTTCTACTTCTGTGCAAGCACCACTGGATCTGTATGCCACTCCATGCAGGGATCCATCTTAAAGTCTTTCTGGCCATCTAAACAGTTTTCTTGCAACAGAGCAAGATACAACAACTGACAGATAAATCATCTCCCTTTCAGCTGCGAAAGTCCAGCTACGCAAGCAAATGAAGGTGCCCGAACTCCACATCTACTCAGGAATCACTCGGCTGAAAGATGCAGTTATTTCATACAGCCTTCTGCAGAGATCCTCCTCGGACCAGCCCACATGTCATTTCTGCTACAGGAGTAATGATATGCTGCTTTATGGTACGAGTTATTCTTAACACCAAAGCCTCACCGAGTGAGGCCCCTTGCCCCGCAGGGCTTCCAGCTGCCACACTGGCCCGGTAAAATGCGGGCAGAACGCAGCATCACCGCACTTGGGCATCATCTCCTCGGTGTTTGTCCGAGCGTTAGACACTCGCACGCAGGAAGACGGTTGCTCTCCTGCTTTCCAAAAGAAGCTCCCATCGTCTCCCCCACCCCCGAGGAGGGGCAGGGCTCAGCCCAGCCCTGCCTAACCGCGTTCCCGATTAGTCCAAGTCCCCCCCGGGTGCCCTCGTGCCCTGTCCTGGCCCGGCTGCGCCGTCGCGGGCGGAGCCGCACCGGGTGTTGGCGGCGAGCTCCGAGCAGCTGCGGGGTTTGACGGCGGCAGCCGCCGCGTCCGGCTGCGCGGGGAGGCGCAGGGTGGCCGGGGAGGGGGCGGCTGTTCCGGGCGGCCCCGGCTCGGGGGACACGAGGTCTTTGCGGCTCGCACCGTACAGGGGTCCAGCCTGTAGTCAAGGACCTCCGCCGGCCAGCCGGGCTCCGCCGAGGCAGCGGCGGCACAGGGCGGCACAGGGCCGAGAGCAGCCGGGACCGCTGCCCGCAGCACCGACGGGCGCACGTCGGAGCCAGCCCGCTGCCGCCCAGGCCCGGGGAGAAGCGATGGAGAGAGGACTCCGGGAGGCTGCAGGAGAGCCAGAGGTGCGTCCAGCGGCACTCTAACACCCACGGCCGCCCGCGCCATCGGGCCGGCGAGAGTTGCCGTCGGGCCCCCGTCTCGGGGGCGGTGCCGCCGCCCCTCCGTCCCTCCAGGCACACGCCCGGGGCGGGCAGGCCCCGGAGGCACCCCCGCCCCGCAGCCCCCCGGTTGTGTCCGGCGCGGTGCAGCGGGGCGGGGCGCGGAGGGCGGGCGGGCGTGCGGCGGGGCCGGCGCGGTGGCGGGGGCGGGTGGGGTTTCCGTGCGCGGCGCTTATTAGTGTGGTGATGGAGGACCGGCCCCTCGGAGCCGCCTCGCAGCGGCGGCTCGGGCTGGCGGCGGCCGCCGGGAGGTGAGCGGCAGCGGCTCGGGCAGCGGAGGCGGCGGGGCCGCCCCCGCCGTGCCCCATGCGGGCGGCGGGGCGGCGGCGGCGGCGCTGAGGGCGATGTCGGAGGCGGGGGGCGCGGGCCGGGCTCGGGCCGCCGTGGAGCGGCTCTCGGAGGCGGTGGGCGAGCGGCGGCGGCAACTGGGCACCGCCATGGGGGAAGCGCGGCGGCAGCGGCGGCTGCTGCTGGTGGTGGTGTGCGTGGCCCTGCTGCTGGACAACATGCTCTACATGGTCATCGTGCCCATCATCCCCGACTACATCGCGGCCATGCGCGGCGGCACCGCCGGCCCGTCCGCGCCCGCGGGGGGCAACGGGAGCGGCGGCGGTAACCGGAGCCTTCTGCCGGCGCGGTACCCGCCGGCCACAGGGGGCAACGAGGACGTGCAGATCGGGGTGCTGTTCGCCTCCAAAGCCATGCTGCAGCTGCTGGTGAACCCCCTCAGCGGCACCCTCATCGACCGCGTGGGTTACGAGGTGCCGCTGCTGGCCGGGCTGGCCGTCATGTTCCTCTCCACCGCCACCTTCGCCTTTGCCGAGAACTACGCGACGCTGTTCGCGGCGCGCAGCCTGCAGGGGCTGGGCTCGGCTTTCGCCGACACCGCCGGCATCGCCCTCATCGCCGACCGCTACGCCGAGGAGCCGGCGCGGAGCCGCGCCCTGGGCACGGCGCTGGCCTGCATCTCCTTCGGCAGCCTGGCCGCACCCCCCTTCGGCGGCGTCCTCTACGAGTTCGCCGGCAAGCGGGTGCCCTTCCTGGTGCTGGCCTGCGTCTGCCTCCTCGACGGGCTGCTGCTGCTGGCCCTGGCGCCGCCCGGTGCCACCGGGGCACGGGCCAACATGCCTGTCGGCACCCCCATCCACCGCCTCATGATCGACCCCTACATCGCCGTAGTGGCAGGGGCCCTGGCCACCTGCAACATTCCCCTGGCCTTCTTGGAGCCCACCATCGCCAACTGGATGAAGGATTCCATGGGGGCCAGCGAGTGGGAGGTGGGCCTCACCTGGCTGCCCGCCTTCTTCCCCCACGTGCTGGGTGTCTACGTCACTGTCCGGCTGGCTGCTGCGTACCCCCACCTTCAGTGGTTCTACGGGGCCCTGGGCATGGCCATCATCGGCGCCAGCTCCTGCTTGGTGCCAGCCTGCAGGAATTTCGGGCAGGTCATCATTCCCCTCTGTGGCATCTGCTTCGGCATCGCCCTGGTGGACACAGCCCTGCTGCCCACCCTGGCTTTCCTGGTGGACGTGCGCCACGTCTCTGTCTACGGCAGCGTCTACGCCATTGCAGACATCTCCTACTCGGTGGCGTACGCCCTGGGGCCCATCGTGGCCGGCCAGATTGTGCACACCATGGGCTTTGCACAGCTCAACCTGGGCATGGGGCTTGCCAACGTGCTTTATGCCCCTGTCCTCCTCTTTCTCAAAAACGTCTGCCAAATGAAGCCCTCTCACTCGGAGAGGAACATCCTCCTTGAGGAAGGACCTAAGGGACTCTATGACACCATCAAAATGGAGGAGCGCAAAGGCATGGGCAAAAGCCTGCAGCCAGCGGGTGAGATGGATGAGAATGGCATGGACTCATATCACAGGGACTTGAAAGGGGTGTCAGAGGAGGACTCATCAGACTATGAGTACAGTTAGATTTCCCCCATGCAGCCCAGCCCCATGAGCAAGGAAGGACATGTGGGGGAGAGAGAGGGAAATGGGGGGATAAAAGTGTTACTGCATTATGTTTCTGTACTGATGTGCAATATATACAGTTTAACCTTTGTCATGATGTAATGGCTTTCTTCTAGATTTATTTTTAATTGGTATTTCTTTCAGCATTCTGGCAAAGTGGATAGGGTGGGGAATGGGGGAACTATACTGAAGAAAATTATTGGAGTAATCATTGGCATAAATCTGAGGGGATCCTTCAAAAAAACCCACCAAAAAGAAAACAAAAAACCCATCAGCCTTGTAGCTGGGGTATAGTTGTGCAGAGTGTCCTCAAGCTGAAACTGTTTGTGACATACTGTATATCTCTGTAAAAAATACAAGAAAAGTAAAAAAAGTATGTGTAAAATTTCAAATGGCTTATTCAGGGACTTAAGAAATCTTGTGTATATATACTCAGACTTTCAGTTGGTTTCATATATTTAAGAAGAGCAACAACTGTCACACTGTCACATTCTATTCTTCCTTGGGAATAAACTGAAGTATTGTAATTTTTTTTTTCTCTCTTGTGCTGCTCTCCAGTAAGTGCAATCTGCTGTATTATGTTGAAGTCCAAATTACAAGAATAATGCAATCTGAATAAATGGAATTGAAGGGGATCGATTGTCTTTTGTTTGTTGTTGAGGGCTGCTTGAGGGAGGGAGCTAGTTGTCCTCATTGTAACCCCTGCACTAACAATTAATTCCCCATTGCACAAATCTCAGTACCTACCTAAATTGCACAGGAGACGACCCCAGTACAAAATGTTCTCATTCATTTTTCACAACATGCCGGGTCTGAGCAAACAACATCGCAATGCAAACACGCTACCAATTGCCTAAAAACAGCTCCTTGTATTCTTATTCGAATTTAATTTTAATTCCCACAGTGATGAATTTCAATTTTCGAGTATTTAAAAAATTACATGACCAGCAGTTAAGAGATACAGTACTAGAAAATGCCTTTTGTGGCGTTAAATGCTGCCCCAGTTGCAACATGCCCGACTCATTGGGTTGGCAGGGATTAAACAAAACAAAAGATGGGTGAAGTACTTCATTCAAACATTCGCAAAAAGTGGAAACCTTCGATCCAACCACAGTGCAACCAGGCTGCATGATTTTCCCTGCAAATTTCTGTCGATACGGAATAAAATCGTTTATTTAAATTCCTAGATTATTAGGAAACAAAATAAATTACTTGTAATCTCAAGAGGGAAAGAAAAAAATTACGAACGGCCACGGCGGCTGTTTAAGGGCTCCCACCCGTCCCTGGGGATCCAGGCGCCGCGAGGGACCGGCGGACGAGCGGCCGGTGCGTTCCGCGGGGCTGCGCGGGACGCGCGGCCCCGCAGCTCCTGCCGGGGCGGGCGAGTCGCTGCTTAAGCGGCGCAAAACTCATGGAAACAGCGCGACGGCTCTTTGGCACGGGGGTTCGGCGAAGGAGCGATGGCCACGGCGGTGGGAGGTGAGCCTCGCCTCCCTAAACCGCAGCCGCTTCTTCGCGGTAAGCGGACACAGCGGTGCCGCCTCCGGTCCGCCGCCCGCGCTCCCCCTGCTGCCGCCGGCCCCGGGGCAGCTCCCGCAGAGCCCCTCCCGGTACCGCTGCCGCCCGGTCGCAGCATCCACCCCTCCCGGCAGTGTGCCGGCAGCCCACCGGCAGCGCCGCCCGCCCCTGTGCGGCCGCGGAGCTTTCAGGAGCAGCAGGTGCCCCGCGGCGACACTGCTCGGCGACGGCGACAACCCCCGTGTCAACGCGGGCCAGCGAGCGCAGTAACCCCTCAGGGCTCCCCTTTTCCCCGCCGCCCAGGGAGCCTCTCGGCTGACCCCGACGGCGGTGAGAGCACGGGCGAGCCCGGCTCTGCCCGGCTCCCCCCGCCCCCCTCACGGGACGCGGCGGGCACGGGCCGAGCTGGCGCCGGTGCAACCGGCGGGCAGAGCCCCTCGCACGGGCGGAACAGGCGCGGGGCAGCGCAGTAACCAACGCCTGTTGCGCGCAGCGGGAGGGGCGGGTAGGGCAGGGCAGGGCAGGGCCGGGCCGGGCGGTGCGGGGCGGGGAGGAGCCAGGCGGCGGCGGAGACGAGCCGCCCTTCGCACGCCCCCGCCCAGAGGGGACCTGGCCGCGGAGGAGGCGGCGGTACCTTGGACAGAGCCGCCGCGACTCGAGAGCCCGCCCGGCAGCCGCTCCGGAGCGCCCCGACGAGCAGGTACGGGCGGGCGGGCTGCGCTCTCCGCGCCTCCCGCTGCCCCGACGGCGCGGCTGCAGGCGCCGGGAGAGCCAGGGGCTTGGGAGCGGGGAAAGGGGGCGGCGGGTCCCGCGGAGCGGAGCCGAGCGGGCTCCCCTCGCCAAACAACGCGGCTCCGGCGGCACCCACGGGGCCGCTTGGTTGCCGCCGCCCGGGTGTCCCGTCGCGACGGGAGGTTCGGGAGGGAAGGTGGGCCCCCGGGGATAAGGCTCGGGAAGGGCTTGGGACGCGCCGAGAGCCTCTGGCGGAGCGTGGGCGCTCCCCGACAGGTCCGGCGCTGCCCGCAGGGAGCTCGCGGCCGGCGACAGGGCGGCTCCTGGCTCCTCTGGCAGTGTCATCGGCTGCAGCAGCGCGCACTTCACACTTGTATTCCTGATAACGCAGACATCCCTCTTAACTGTAACCAGAGATTCCTGAGAACTTTAAGCTTATTCTTCTGATAACACCGAGAGTGAGGATGACTAGAGAGACGGGGGCCGAGTGTATTGCCCTAACAATATTATATGCTGCAAGCTGCCTCCTGAGTCCACAATGTATGGAGAACTCAACTATAAGCATATGGGCTTATTTCAGTTCTCCTCTGCTATCTGCTAACAGAGAGCAGTGCCTTTTGTTGTGGATTTGAGTTGCTGCTTTGAGCTGTGGGGAAGGCCACCCGCTCCTCAGCCTGCTGTGACTCGCAGCCACCCTGCTAAGCCTCTCACCCCAGCCCTCAGCTAAGTCAGCTGTAAATAAAAACAGCTAGGATTATTTTATATTTTTTGCCTAATAACTTTGACAATACGCCTCACAGCCTTCTAGTGAGCAACTTTGAAGTCATCTTGAATTTCTGCAGGATTTTCTCCTGTGTCAGTTTTCTTCGTCCTTTATTAAGCAAATACAGGATTGTGTGTGATGTTAAGCTGTCACCACTTGAACCAGAGACAAAGCCTCCGTTCATCCCCGTGCCAGAGAAAAGCACAGTTCAGGCTACCACCTCCAAACTCCTTATCACACTGTTTTCACAGATATGCGGATCAGGTCTATTAGTAGTAGCATTTCCCAAAGACACGGAGCCAGTATAGATTTGTAGTGGGCAAAGAAAGAAAGAAAAGAAAGAACGAAAGTCCCAGTGAGAAGAATACTTGCAGGATTTTCCCTTTAAGGGAATACAGTTTTAGGGGCTCTAAAGACAAAATGGCTGCTCTGTGTTTGAACACAGGTGGGGAGCCAGTCTATAAACAACTGGGCAAGCCACAGTCTTCCAAGAGTTACAAGACATGACCATTATTTGAAGTGCTTTGACCCTGTGTTGCTAGGAATAGAGTGCAGGGCTGAGTGATGAGACCTGTGCAGCACACAAGAGGGAGCGAAGCAGCACAGTGGGTTAATGTGGCCTCTCCATGAGGGAAATCATCTCTCACCTGGGTTGAAATTGTGAGCAGATGACAGATCAACATGAGTTTGCTGTGTGGCTCATTGCAGGGCCCCGGGGACATGTCTCAGCCTCATACAACCTATTTCACAGCACATGGCTCCACTGAAAGCCATTGCGGGACAGGATCGACACCAGGTGTCAGTGACCACATACACGTTGGCAGAGCTGGAATAGCCAAGCCAATCCTCAGGAGAGGAATAATGCACTGCCCATTGCTAAACAGAACTCTTCATCTCACTTTCATACACTGTAGGCTTTTTAACCCAATTGTTCTTAAAACCTGTTTTAAAAATATCTCAAGTGTCCTGAATGTATAGTCCCAAAGATTACAGAAAAAAGGTATTTTCTACATAGTCAACACATGTTGTCTTTTATATTTTGCATACACAGAGTGGAAAGTAATTAAAATAAAACCATCAAGATCTGACTGAACACAAAGAACTTGCTCTGCTTTAGCTGTCTTTATACACTATCATAACTGAATGACAATTGCTTGGTGTGGGCATTATTATGCCAGAAGAAATACATGTATCATGTAGCTTACTTTCGTATAGAAAAGCAGTAAGAGGCATCTTTAGAAGGCAAAACCAGGATAAGCACAAAACCAGAGAGACACCAGTGGAAGTATTTGCTCTGTCACAGATTACTTTTGTGACTTTTGGCAGGTTAAGCCATCTCCCTGGATAGTTGTGTGCTATTTGGGAAGACCTCTGTATGAAGCACAGTGTATGCCACTGCTGCCAGTCCTCCCACAGCCAGCCTGCCTTAGGCAGTCTCATGGGGTCCCCCAGCCCACATCTATGCCCCAAAGCACTGGCACCCAGTGAGCTTCTAGGTTGCAGGGGGCAAAGGCACATTTCCATCAAGCTCCTTTCTACAGCTTTTACATCTTCTAGCACAGCAGCTCACTGTATCTGTGGAACCACGCAGTGACAAATACATTTAAAGACTGTGGTGCTTTCATATAAAATGGTAAATGGAGGAAATACAAGATCCTTAGACAGAAAATTGCAGCCTTACTATTACCTGTGTCAGCATAAGTACACTCAAAGAAAAGTCACCTCTTTCCTCCAGCTAACATGTAACAGTCATATAAAGTGCACAGATCACGCCACAATAAATTGCAAAGTAAATTACAGTGACAAAATAAACCATGCTGAGAAGGGACCTTTTATGAGCATCAGATAATTCTGAATAAATAAATTTATAGCAAAATGAGACAAACAGAATGTCAGAGCAATCTCCAAAGGGCTCAGTTCAGCTACTTTTGACTGCTATACTTCTAGT